TATTATTTATTTTTATTTCAACAATATTTTGCGAAGTTGGTCCATCCAGCCTGAGCTGATCATTAGGAACCCTCAATACATATAACAACAAGGAAATATAAATAGATTAACAAAGAAATTTAAATAATAAGCAAAAGAAGACATGACAAACAATACACAAAATTAAAAATTAAAAATCAATTGAAAAAGAATGAACTGTGAAAAAACTTTAAAGAAATTAATACAAGAAATATATATATATATATGTATATATATAATATAAATAACAATTTAAGATGAAATTAAATTGACTATAAATTAATTAAGAACAGAATTATAAGGCAAAATAAATGAAAAGCAAAAACTAACATAGTTTTTTAAAAAATTTAAAGAAACAAAGAATATGTAATCTTTCAGAACGACTTGTTTTGAATTCAATAAATTAAGCAGTACTTAACTCAGTTATTTTTTTGCCGATTATAAGACATTTTTTATTCTTAAAGATTCGTTTTTGGTACTACATGGATGGCGAATATGACGGTGCCTTAACAATATACCAACAGATGACATATAACGATTACACTGACTTAGTACAAGTGAGCGAGCTAGTTGAACGCTCATACAGTTATTGGAAGTTATTGCGCGTTCCACTGAGATCTCTTCCGGAAGATTTTCAGGTTCGTTTCCATCGTCGATCACAACGTGTTTGTAATAACAATAAGTTAATGAACATATTTGTAGTAGGTGATACGTTTTCCTGAAGAAATCATCTATTACCTTTACTTTTTCCCCATCAAAGGTAATGATGTGATGTCACCATAACCATATATAGTCATGATGTGCCTATATATTGTCACGATGTGATGTCACCATAACCATATATAGTCATGATGTGCCTATGTGATGTCACCATAACCATATATAGTCATGATGTGCCTATATATTGTCATGATGTGATGTCACCATAACCATATATAGTCATGATGTGCCTATATATTGTCATGATGTGATGTCACCATAACCATATTTAGGCATGTCACATGTTTTTTTTCGAAATGAAATTTTGATAGTCTGGAGAGGGCGCTGGAAGGTAGCCAATTATTTCGTCAGAGAACACTGCTTAAAAAAAAGAGCCTTTTTACAGCCTGATAATGCTAAGATTTTGCTGAAAACTCATTGTTTCAGGTTGTGATAGAGGACGTCCGAGGTGCAAGAGGTAACATTGCCATTGACGATGTATCCTTATCGGCCAACTGTATAGCAGTCGGTGATATACCTGGTTTTGATCAAACCAGAAATTACAAGTTCTGTGATGACGGCAGGAGACTTCGGTGTGGAATGACCAATCAATGTTTTGAAACAACGCAGAGATGCGATTTCATTCTCGACTGCGATGATGGATCTGATGAAAATGAATGTGGTAAGTTTCAAAATGTATCGACTCTTCTAAAGCTTAAAATTACGTATGGCAATATATCTTTAATATTGTTTTTCATTTGAATGGACCTTCCAGAATGTCAATCAAACTTAACAACTGACCAATGAGAACAGGGGCCAAGAATACGCGCGTGCCTAACTATCACAAGTGTTGTTCCACAAATGCACTTGTTTGCGTATGTTTTAACACGTTTCTGGGACCTTTGCATCAAAATCCAAACGGCAGGGCTTACGAAACGTCTATAAATTCTCTAACGTAAAACCACAAACAGAAGCCCTGGGCTTCTTTTTTTAGGACATTTGGAAGGGCTTCTTTTCGATATGGGCCTCTTTTCGAAATGGGCTTCTTTTCGAGATTACTTTTGCAAACTAAAGAGGGGAGCTTCTTTTCAAAATGAATGCTGTAAATTTTGGAATTGCTACTACACAACATTTTTCAACTACGGAATTCAAAACCCTGTTTAATATTTTTATTTTATTTTAACCATGTTAGCACAATAAAATAATATTGATACTGACACGCTACCATAATATCAAAGATCAAATATACGTCAGTCAGAATTTAAATACAATCTCGTGTAACCCCTTATTATCTTGATTAGAAGCCCATAGGCTTCTTTTCAAGATAGGCTTCTTCTCGAGATTAAGCCCATGGGCTACTATTCGAGGTTGTTTACGGTATCTTGATAAGTCATCGTATTATTAATCTTTTATTGGAGTTTTTAGGTACAACTTGTGGATTTGAGAATGATTGGTGCGGATGGAAAATTAATCGAAGGGGAGGCATTAACTGGATCCGATCAAATGGAAGGTCAGCTCATAGTAGGGATACGAGACCACGTATTGATCACACTAAACAAAATCCAAAAGGTATACCGCTGAAATTCCCTACTTTATCGCAATTTCAATTAAACCCCGAGTAAACTCATTATTAAACAGTAACAGTATATCAACAATACAAACTTCTAAAGATTCATATTATAAGTCCAATAAATTGAAAAGCCATCGTGATTCCATATTATTTCAAACTTTATTCGTTCATCGTCAGAAATGAAGCTATTGTGAAATGTTAAACATTATTTTACTTTGACATCTTGCCTTTACGTCGAGTATGATGAGCCGAGTTATTATTTGTTTTCACCACCTGGTTATCGTAGTCAAGGTCTCTGCACTTTTATGTGGTGCCAAGAAAATGTCATAATTAAAGATGTATTTTTCAGCTTGGCCATTCGTCTGTTCCTCATTATCCGCTTTGTATTTCTATATCGTTCAAAAAGTTCCTTGTGTTACGATGCCTTTTTAATAGTAATGATAATGGTGTAGTGAGTCTGCTTCTGAACTTCTGAAAATTCGTGGTAGTATGATGTTGCTAAGTTAGAGTGGTATATTTATATGATGCCTTTAAATGTATGCTTTATTCTCAATATATCGCTTCCAGAATGGGTACAAAAACCCACACAACTAAAATAATGAAGAAATAAACTGTACGCTTAATTGACTACTTTTCTCCATAGTCTATATCTATAAACTAAAAAATGAGAAGGAACTTCTAAACATAGTTTGAAAGTATTTTATCTTTAAATTTCAGGATTTTATATCTACCTTGAAACCAGTGAACGTAATGATTCTCTCAGCGCCCTCTATCACGAGAACATTCATCTATATAGCCCTGTACTTCAGCACAGTAGTGCTGTATGCAAATTTAGTATGTGGTACAACATGAGGGGATACGGTATTGGTACTATTTCTGTATATATACGGACATATACACCTAAACAGGTTATTGCGATTAAAATATTATTACGAGCGTTTGTACGAGTGTCCACACTGTCTGCCAAGTTTCCCGCCATTGCGGAAGCAACTCCATTCAATGTTGTGTGCAAGAAAATAAAAACATAAATAAAAATAAAATAATAACAATAATAAAATACAGGTACTGAGATGAGTAGTAGCTTTCCCCATTGGAGAATGCAGTGAAAGAAGAAAACATTATTATTTATTATTATTATCAATATTATTATTATTATTATTATTATTATTATTATTATTATTATTATCATCATCGTTATGTAATATAGAATTTATTGTTGTAATTATGCCAACATTAAATGCTATAAAATAAATATATAGGTAGTTGTATAAATATATAGGTAGGTAGCTGTATAAATATATAGGTAGTTGTATATCACACTTTCAGAAAACCAATCTACCTATCTTTCATAAACAAAGATAGAATCATGTTTTTGTGTGTTTTGGTTATTTCAGACAACTTTGCTTCGGTCAATAAAGCAAAGTGACGACAGTAATTGGGTTTCGACAGGAGACATCCTAATCGGTCACAGGGAACAGTTCACCGTTTTGATCGAGTACACTTTGCATGCGGCAATAAGAGGCCATGTTGCTCTAGACGACATTCTTTTCAAAGATTGTGGGAAAAGTAAATGATTTTGTTTTATATCGAAATGGAATAGTCCCACTTCTTGGGTATTGTTGATAAGGTCCCACAAATCGACAGCGTAAACGACCAAGTCATGTTCCTCTTCTGATTGGTCAGATGTTAAGATTAATCTACATTCCGGAAATGTCCATTATTACAGTGGGGGATTCTATACAATTAATATATCAATTTAACCGCTACGGTTTTATGAACAACGAATTTAGGCTAGAAAACAACGATAGATGCGGCTACAAAAAAGAGGTAATATTAAATACAAAGTGAATTTTATGACAGAAAAAAATAGGGAAACCTTATGTATTTATAAACATAAAACCAATCGTCAATATGTTGTTATTTAGACACACATCAGAGAAGATGCTCAGCAGGTTCTATCGCATGCAACGACAGTAGTTGTGTGGCGGGTTCACACGTGTGTGACTTAAAAAATGATTGTCCCTGCAAGACGGATGAGAAAAACTGCCGTAAGTTCGCTTATACAATAAGCCTATGCTTTATAAGTCTATGGCTTATTTTATGATTCATTGCTACCCATCGATCACCATCATACTATACATTTTGGTAGGTAAAATGGGGATTACAGTAACGTCCATGGTAAGGCTATTTAATTTATTAATTAAGGGGCTATAAAACATAAAACATATACACATATTTTTTGGCACCTCTTGGTAAAAATTAAATATTTTTAAGATGTTGGGTTGGCCGAGCATATATAACACAAATTTTAATTTCTTATTCTTATTGTATATTTTTTTTTTCAAATTGTCCCCTCGGCACCCAAGCAGGTTTATTTCAGAAATACGATACACGCCTATGGTTATTCTAACTCGATCATCTTTTGATATTTACAGAAACAAATGGTGGATGTACGTTCAATAATGTGCCGTTTGAGGATCATTGTGGCTGGCAGCAAATGAATGGTGATGATTTTGATTGGACACAAAGTCAAGTAGCCCTTAGAGGCGGACCTACAGGCGACCATACAGGCGGTTCAAATGGTAAGTTTTAAAAGACTGTGTAGGCCTACACGCTCATTGACAAGACGCTTTATGAAAACATAACATATAAAAATACAAACATTGCATTACAAACACATAAAAGTTTATTGTCTGCGACGCTAGCGCGTTATTTACAATAACAGAAAACTAAATTAATTTTTAAAATATATATTTTTGCATTTACAGGTTTTTTCTTGCTGCTAACCCAACCGCATGGGAGTAATAAGGGAGGTAAAAGTCAAGTCACAACAGCAGAATTCGAAACAAGTGAAAATGTATGTTTCTTGAGGTTTTGGTACCACATTTGTGGTGTTGAGAGTTCTTTACGGGTAAGATCGATCAGACATGTCCCTCTATGTGACAGACTTAGCTCTATCATTCGAATGTCAGCCTGATAACAAGGTGGATAAAATAATTTCTCATTCTTAATCAATGTCATGGCACATGGAGTAACGTTATAATTTAAAATATTTTCTTTTAAACTGGGGAAGCTGCGAGTGACAGAAATCTTAGTTAGCCCTTTTTTCACTATAGGAATTGCGTTCGTATTAATTTTGCGTTTAACGCTCAGCTTCAGTGCGAAACGTGTGCGCGAGTTATCGAATTCACCTTTCAATATCTCATAAAGACTGTCTTTGCGTGTTACTTAAAGGTTTTCACTCGTTCGTCAAACTCTGATGGAGCTATGCTGTTAATGTGGCAGCATTCACAGTCATCGAATGATTGGGATTACGTCAATATTCCTGTCGCCAACGTTCATACTTACAGTGTTGTGTTCGAAGGGATAATTGGAGCAAACGAAAGACAATGCGTTGCATTGGACGATGTCACTTTCTCTGCAGAGTGTCCGTATACAGGTTAACAGTTAATATTTACGATTCACTTTAATATAAAAAAAAATATTGGTTTAAAAGGGATAAAGGCTATATATTTTGCGTAATAGTAATTCTCCAAATACATATTCTGAGCCCTCTGGGTTAGCCTTTCATGATTTCAGCGTCGAATGAGCTATGACTACTAAAACACAGTTGTGTATAAGATTGTGTATGAGAAGGATACAATTAAGTGGATAGGGATATAGGTATTATTCGTATCAGATCTATGATAGTTCCCAGATAGTTTAAACAAATCTGGAAAGAATCTCAAACATTAAATTAACGATGGTTTATAGTCATATTCCCAATATTAAAATTTGAAAAAACCTCCAAAAGTCAATTAAAACTCAGAATTTCTAGGATAAAAAAAATGATGCAAAGATCAAACAATTTTGTTTTCGCTGACTTCATATATGGAATTTCATTTAGTTTAAGAAGGCATACAGTATGCTTAACTATTCTATTTTGTTGACCTACAGGTCGAGATACTCTCACGACCCCACGAGATACAGTTTTGCCACCGCTGGAGCAAGAAGGTGAGTAAATCTAGTACAATGGTTCCCAACCTGGGTTTCTGACATACATAGGCATAGACTTCTTTCATTCTAAATTGTTTTAACTGGCATTATATTTTAATTCCAATATTTATTGCTGAATCTTTTATATCTGTTTATATGTATGTAAAGATTCTTAGAGTTTTATAGGTATTTAGGCCAAGTGCTTAGAAAGCAACTTGATAGTGGCGTTCCTCAGGTAACGAACATCTTGTTAGTATGCGTTTACCTGAATATCGAATAGATTAAACAAAATCGGGGGCCCTAAATTTTACTAAATTAAGAATAAATGGGGGATAAAAGAAAATATCATTTCCGACCATATAGAGGTGCCATAGACATACAAAATGTTGTACCTCGACCACATAGGCTTATCTGTAAAAAATAACTTTCTGACCACTCTTGTTCTATATATAATCTTTTTGGTGGAATATCAACCATAGTGGCTCTAAATTTTACAAAAGTAAAAATAAATGGAGGAATAAAAGAAAATTACTTTCAAAAGTCTGACAGTGCCATTTCCGGCCATCTAATATTGCCATAGACATAAAAATGTCATACCCCAGCCCAACCATGGTGAGACTGAGGTGGCTTCTATCTCAAATTCCAGTAGCCGCCACTGCTTAATGTTGTACTTTTGTGGCGAATCATCTTCCATCGTATCGAAAATAAGTAATACTTACACATGAGGGTCCGTTGAGACTTTTAACATGTCCCGAAGGGTCTGCGTAGGGCCTATGAAAAAAAGTTGGGACACACTGATCTAGTAAAAAGTTTTGTACGCCACGCCCCTTGCATAGTGTTGCTATTGTTGTAATCGTCCTTCATTGTAAAATTTAGTTTGCTTTTGTTGTATTTGTTTTATCGATATGTTTGATGATCAATAATTTGTGTTTTATTGTAGTGTATTTCTAGGTTCCACAACACGACAACGTAAATCATGTGTTTGTTTGCATTAATATAAATTTCAATTCACTAAAATTAAACAATCTCATGTTCTTTTAGGTGACAGCATCGTTCTTCTTGTAATACTCGCAACTTGTGTAGTTATTGTTGTTTTGACCACGATTTACTTTGTCATCAAAAAAGTCTCGACATGGTAATCATTTATTTCTGAACTAGAGAGCGGTACTCGATTGAGTGCATACCTCCAACTGAGCATTTTATTCCTGTGGATTTCTTTAATTTTAGTGACACTGACCTCTACCTTTGATGTTTTCATCCCAAATATTAAAAACCCTTTCTGGTAATGGTACTTACCTTTTCTTTGCGACTCCATTAAACTTTATGGTGATCCAGTCATTAGTTTTTGTATAATGATGCTAACAAACAGATTAACAAACAACCAGAAAACGGTGGTGAATGTAGGTTCCGTGGCGGAGGTAACAATTTAAATACAATATAGAATTCACGTACAGTAATTCAGATTGGCCTATCATATGTAGGCCTATTTTCCTGACACGTCAGTAAAGATTTGGAATTTGATAACGGTTAAATAAGGGGTGTTAGGATGGGCAATGAACAGAGCGTTTTATGATTTACGGTATAT